GAGTCAGGATCTGACTGCCTGTGACATGACCAGAGATCCCGTCTCCTCTGTGCCCAGAACCGTGCCTGACACACAAACTGCACTTCATGCATGTTTATGCATCCATGTACTTACCTTTTTTTTTTTTTACATTTTTATTTATAACAACATCTGTGCTATTTCATCGTGGAGGAATTCAGCAACAATTATTGAAACATTGTGTCCCTAGGTGGGGTCACCTGCTTGCCTTTCATGATGAGTTTCCTGTTCGTCTCCAGGGAAGGGGAGCCCGGGGGAGGGACGCGGGAGTGGGGAGGCCTATTCAGGATGGATCTATTTATTCCCTTCATGATCTCTTCAGAATTTCACCTCCAAAGAAGTTGACCTTGTAGATAAAATTTTCTCCAAGCCAAAGTGTGCCTTCAAAAGACATTTAGCAAACATTTATATAAAGTAGACGCCCGCCCCCAGGCTCTGAGATCCGGGCCTGCATCCTGACTGGGGGGGGACTACAGTCGGAGCGTGGTGGGAGGAGTCACGGTGTCTGCTCGCCCTGGGCACTCCACCACCCTGGGTCCGTGCTCTGTGACCGAGTGCAGAGATCAGCCAGGCACAGTCCCCGTACTGAGGTGGCTTGTCATCCAGTGGGAAGACAGACGAAGTATAAACTGTAAAGCCAGGTGACACGGATAGAGACGGACTTGACCCAGGGCACTGCAGGGACAGGCAGAGCTGGCCTAACCTGGGGACAAGGGGGCAGGAGACGACCAGGAATACTGGGTCCGGCAGCAGCCTTCCCTTCTAGTCGCTCTCCTGGTGGGGGCCGGGCCCATGCTGGCGTGGGAAAGCCTGGGCCGTGGTGTTCTCTGGGTTCCCAAAGGGCTCGTGAATACAGACGGAGCCCTGCCAGAGGGCCAGCTCTCCTTCAGCGTCACAGACAGGAGGTGACAGAGGCAGCCCAGCTGCTGTGGGTCAGCAGGGAAGCTGCAGAGGCCCAGTCTCCACTGGGTGGCATCTGAAGGTCACGCCCAGGTCTGTGCCCGTCCTGAGCCTCAGAGACAAACTTTTTTTTCTTTTTTGGTACCAGGGATGGAACCCAGGGGCCCTCGAGCACTGAGCACATTCCCAGCCCCCTTGACTTTCTGTTTTGAGACAGGGTCTGGTGCAGTTGCTTAGGGGCTTGGAAGTGGCTGAGGCTGGCTTTGAACTCGCCATCCTCCTGCCTCAGCCTCCAGAGCCGCTGGGATGACGGGTGTGTGCCACCGTGACCAGCCAGAGACAGACTTAAAATTTTTCAGGAGTATGGGTCTGGGGGACACACAGGAGATGAGGAGATGAGGGGTGACGGCCAGGACCCGGGAGTCATGCTTCCAGCAAGACTGAGGGAGGGCTATCCTCGTGGCTTTGGGAGGCCACCAAAGGGCTGCGTGGCGAGTCCCGGCAGTGTGTCTGCCGGCCCGCCGTCATGGGGTCACTGTAGTAACAGGGTCATTCTGAGTGGCACAGATGTGTCCTTGGCAACGACACCCCGATTTCAGAGACCCGCCCCCACCCGTCACTCACTTGATCTTGACGAACTTCCGACAGGGCACCGTGTTCCTCACGCACGTCTCCGTCAGCGGGTCTATGTCCTCCACGATGACGAAGGGGGCCTCCTCCAGGGTCACGATGCTCAGGTGGTTGTCGTCCGGCTCGCAGTCGGAGAAGGACTTGTACCTGGGCCACACGGCGTGCCGCAGGCTCAGGCTCTGGTTCTCCCACTTCCCCACCTGCATCAAACACAGAGGCCACTGGCGCTCGGCCCAGGACTCCCTGCAGGGCCAGGCCCGCCCCTAGGCGTCCTGGGGGGCAGCGTCCCTCCTGAGGGCGTCCTGCCGCCAACGTCAACCTGTGCACAGTTAGGAGCTCAGAGAAATGAAAGAGGAAAGGGAACAGCGCGCCGGGCAGCTCCACCTCCCAGATGCCGCCTGGAGTACTACACCTGGGCGTCTGGGGGACGTCGGGGCACTGCCCCCTCACGGCTCCCCGGGACCCCTGAAGCCAAGGAAGCCGCGTGGACCTGGAGGCTGACCCAGGCGTCTCCGCCTCTCACCGGCCTGCAGCTCTGAGGTGTGCACAGCTGAATCCCAGAGCTTCGGCCCCCTCGTCTGACAGAGGCCTGGCCACACCTGGGAGTCTAACAGGGCCATGCCCGGCACACGGTGGAGACTCGTACCTTCTCCTCAAGTACAGAGGAGAGAAAGGAGCAAAGGTAAAAAGGTGCTAAGAAAAGAAAGTACCAGAGGAAAGGGGAGAAGAAGACGCAGTAAGACGCAGTCAGCCAGGAAAGCAGAGACCTGGGGGAAGGGACAACCCAGAGGGACGGCATCCTTCCAATCCCGGATACAGCTCCCGTTTAAGTTGCAAATTAAGTTGAACTTTGGTTAATCTGCACAGAGGGGAGAGCTGCTGCTTAGTGAACACGGAGACCTGTCAAAACAGAATCGATCGCATCCTCTCAGAGCAGCAGTCGGCCTCTGAGCAAAACCAAATTGAAGGCTGTAGGTTTTGAACCTTAATTCTATTTGACAGGTTATTGGCACTATTCACATTCCTGCCGGGAGGAAGCTGCCCCACGGCCGCTCTCGCCGTCCTCCTCCTGCTCCCACGCACGGTGCTTGACACCGCAGGTCAGCGCGTCATCTGTGACACCAACCTCCAGGAGAACACCCCGTCTGCAAAGCTAAGTGCAGGCGCAGGCCTGTCTGAGCCGGCGTGACCCACTCACCTCTCCCCACCGCGACATAGTGTGGCCAGAAATGAACCCGGGCCCTCCAGGAGATTCAGACGCACTGCACCAGGCAGGAGGGGCGGGTCCCTGATCCCTGCACCCCTCACCGTTTGGGCTGGCTGTAAAGAACCATCCACGTGGCTGATCACGACGTGGTCTAGCCTCTGTGACCCTGTCTCCTTAAGGTAGGAAGGTCAGCAGAGCCCTTTGCAACATGCTCGTATGTGCCACGTGGGCTCGGGAGAACGTGGGGCCCACAGGATTCTTCTTTCATTCCACATGGATCCATTGAACACCTACTATGTGCTGACACCAGCCGAGGAACAATCATGGATTGTTCTTAGAATGACTTCTGCCATCTTAGAGCTACCAATCAGCTGCAATAATAGGGCTACTACAGTGGCTTGGGAGGCCGAGGCAGGAGGATTACAAGTTCAAAGCCAGCCTCAGCAACTTAGCAAGGACAGAGATCTAACCAATAATGCCGAACACAGATACAGAGATTTGCACCCTTTTTCCTTTGGGATATATTACACTAACCCCTTTCTTCCCATTTGTCTTTGAAAACTCAAACACAACCTTTGAGAGAGGTTGGGGAGCTTAGTGGAACAGCTTTGGGGGTCAAGTAGAACGAGGGAAGAAGAACGAGGGGTTCTTACTGGCTTCACCCTCTAGCTGAACAGGCCGGGGAAAGTCCTTTGACCCCTCAGCAGAGAGAAAAAAGAGAACCCCTTTAAGGACTGCAGGGAGGTTTGAATGAGCCACTGCTGTCTGTCACTCACGGAACCCGACACCCAGCGAGGCACGTGACATCACTATGCTGTTGCTGTTGCTGTTGGCATTTGAGACAGAGATCAAATGTCAGCTTATTTGTAAAGTGGTTCTTGCTTTTCCTAGAAATCTAGAATTTTGCATCTCTCTACCATAGCGTGTTGACGCTATGATCATAACAAGGTCACTGCTGACACTTCTGTGTTCAGGAAGGGTGTCCGTCTCTCCCTTTAGCCGAATTCCACCAAATCCAACAGGGTGGGAACAGAAGCATGGAGAGGTTATGTGAGCTGCCCAAAGTCACACAGCAAGCAGGTGCAGACAGGGTCACACCACGGGGCTGTCTGACTCCATGGGGTTTCCCATCATAGACTCAGTGCTTCTACCAACTGAGCAATGATGACACCGCTCTAACTACAAGGCCCTTCCTTCCTTGCACACCTGCGCCTGACACCCCAAGATAACCTAGATCAAGGCTTGAACGAGCCCTGAACTAGTTGGTTATGCCACTGGCCTCACTGCAAACCAGACCTCAAGGACAAGAGCCAGCCCCAGGCTGACTCATGGGGAAAGAGTCACAGAGTGTGGCGTCTTCCTGGCTCCCGGCTGCTGCCCGCTTTCCGCCACATCCATGCAAGGACCCCTGTGTCAGCCCAGGAGGACGGGGGGAGGTGGAGAGTGCTTGATCAGGAACGGAAGCTTCTGGGTCAACACTGCCCAGACCTGAGGGCTCTCTCCTCCTCTCCTGAGTCCACAGCTTCTTCAGGACCCATCTCCAACACCAAGACTGTCTACCAGATCCGAAGCCGGTGGACAGGCTGAGCTTTGGCCTCCTGTACCCAAAAGCAAAATACCGGGGAGTGAGGATCTCTCCCAGCAACTCCGCCTCCCAGACTCCAAGCCGCGGAGGACGGCTGTCTGCACAGCCCTGGGAATTAAATTTCCCTGGACAGCAAAGGCACCGTGCTCTCACCACCTGGAAAGGCGATCCAGTCACCCTGCAGTGCTCACAGGGAAAGCAAGACTCCACGTGATAAACCCGCCACTGGGGGTCGGCAAGCCTTAGTTTCCATCCTCACACTGTCTCTGCTAACCCCAGTTTGCAGGGGCAGGAAGCAGGCTTGGAACCTCCACACTCCAAGCGTTTCTCTTTGGAAACTGTGTCCCAAATGGAAGAGCGCTGCGCACTCTGAAAACGGTAGCTGGCCATCTCATTCCACCTTGGACCTGATGGTGACACCCCTGCTGTTCTCTAAAATGACCTTCCTCCTGTCCCAAGGCCCTTCTCCATGATGCACTCCATGCTCTACTGAAGAGTGAGCCAAACCGAGATCGCAGCAGCCTTCCTTCAGCTCCACGCTTTCTGAGGCAGAGATCAGAACCTCAGAGCAGGTGAACGACGTGGCCACTGTCCGTCACGTGAGCCTATATCTGGAGCTAGAAAGGGAAGGGCTCCCGGGACAGGTGGCCGAAGGCCTGGTTAGACGGAAGGAGGAGCCGGACAGAAAGCACACCTGTGCACGGCACTGGGTCCATGCCCACGCGCGGGCCTGGAGGGACTCCACCGAGTTCTCAGGAATCACCTCGGTGCTGTGGACCCTTCTCCGCCCTCCCTCACGTGGACCTGAAGGAAAGGGCTCAGCCTCATGAAGGGCCTGGACTCGGCAGCAGTCGGTCGGTCATAGTCGGATTATTTTGCCAGTGTGACCAACAGACCCAAGAGAACAGTCAGAGGAGGGGAAGCTTGGTGGGGGCTCACAGTTTCAGGTCTCAGTCCACAGAGAGCCGGCTCCATGGCTGAGGGCTGGGGAGGGTCTGGGGGAGGAAAGACATGCACCAGGAAGCAGAGAGAGACTGCGCTCACCAGAAACAACACGTCCCCACGACTGCCAGCCACGCCCACCTGCCTTCAGTCCCCACTCCACCAACCCCTACCAGGGGCCGAGGCTGCCATCGCCCAAGCACTTCACCTCTGAGCCTCCGCCCACGGCCGCACACGTGAGCTTCTGGGGGACACCTCACGTCCGTCCATAACACACATGAGCAGACTTAAATCCTGCCCGACCCTAGCCATGTGACCTGGACAACCTGGGTTTCTGCAAACACAACATGGTGACATTCCATTCACAGTCATCGTGAGGGTCATCGGGGGTTAAGGACACAAACCTTGGCGAGCGCACGGTACCTGGCCCACAGAAAGTCCCCTGCTGGTCCTGTTGTCATTCAGCCAACGTGTACCAAGTCTCTCTGAGAAGACGAGGAGCTTTTGCAGGGGCAGCCCAGACTGAGGCAGTGGGGACCACCGGGTTCCTGCCATGACGTGCCCTTGACCGCTCCTCAGGTTCCTGGTCTCGGCCCCCTCCCCTCTCCAGGACATGAGGGGTTGGGTGTGGGCTAGGGGACCTCTAGGCCTTGCAGATCTGAGCTTCTGTGCAAAACACAGGGGCGAAGTTGTCCCCCAGCCCTTCCCCATTGGGGACCAGGAACTAGTGGAGGAGCAGGAGAGGGTGAGGGAGCGCTCCTGGCTTGAGGCATACTTCCGGATGGTCAGGGCAGAGGGACGTGCCTGCCTCTGAGGCAGGAGGTTCTGAGAATCCACCAGAGGGCCGAGGGGCACAGGGGGGGGCCCGCAGAGCCCCCAAGCTGCAAGAACAAGTGGGCCCCAGGCCAGAGGCTTCAACCAAGTGCACTTTTCATCTTCTAGAAAGAGGCACAAGCCCAAATACGGGCTCCGCCACGTTCCTGCTGTCGCACGGTGGGCCCAGGTGACCAAGTCACTGCTCACGCTCTGGGTGTGAGCCCGGGCTTCAGAGAGCAGTGCTGACGGGTTTCCATGCATGTCCATCCTCAAAGCAGCTCCAGGAGGCAGGTAACCATGACGACCCTCGTCACATCATGAGGAGACTGAAGGGGCACACGCCTGGCTCAGGTCATGCCATCAGGCCACCGCGGACCAAGTCCGACAGGGAGAATGCCGAGCACCGCCCCCTGCCGCTCTCGAGACGGCTGCCTGTGTCCTAAAGGGACCCGCCTCACAGAGTCGGGAGGGCTCCTATTTCTGCATTCGGAGGCTCTGACACGGGTTGAGATGTCAGTCCCCCTGGTCCTGAACCCGACCCGCCACTCCACGCAGCTCTCCCTCTCCCTCCTACAGACGAGGGCCGAGGCAGGGAGTTCACCTGGTCTGAAACGGCAGGACCAGGCTTTGAGCCCAGGACTCATTTCAAA